TGGTTTGTATCAGTGTTTTTTTTCCCTAGTGGGAGGGGTGGGAGGGGTCAGGGGAGGGTCCATGAAGATAGACCACACCCACATGGTCTCTGCCATAGCAAGTAGGAAAGACACTTAAATAACATTGTTATTACCATTATTATTATTATTATTATTATTATTATTATTATTATTATTATTATTACCATAAATGACAAATAAAATGCAGTAAAATATTTGCAAAAACCCAGATGGAGAACGAACGGCTTCACACAAAGTGATCAAACATAAAAACTTTTAAAAAGGGAGGTTATGACGATTCTATAATAGCAATGATTTAAAGAGGTACAAAAGGAGTTATGTTATCATAAATAATAGTAATATTGAATATTGAATGCTCGCAATTTTGTCAAACTGAAACTGGATTCTTTGTGTTATGTAATTATTGTAAATAATTCAAAGAGAGAAAAAATGACTTGCATGTCTATGTATAAATCTACTGAGATATCTATTCCCGTCAAAGTTGACAAGTAGTTCGATCTCTGTCCTTTTTTGCCACTTTCGCTTATCCCCTAAAGTATGTCACCCGTCCTCACCTCCACCCCCCCACCCTCCCATCGCCACCGTCTTTATTCTTTCTACGTGGCCGAGACAACAACAGAGAGAAAGAGAAACATAGCTTCCAGCGTCCTCGTCCGCCATGCTCAGTTCAGACGCTGTGTTTACACCAGCCTGCTGAAATCCTGACTTCACACATGTAGAAAGAAAAGAGGTATAATGGTGTTTTCACCAGTAGTTCATCCACTGGAGGGCAGTGTTGAACTTTTTTTTTGTGATTCCAGTCTCTTCGTTTCAGTCGAAAAGATGAATCCACGACGGAAACAAAAAGACCTCAAGTTTCGGGGCTATGGTGTAAACACAGCCACAACCACACCTGCATCCATCACCCCAGTTCCGGAGGCTCCGCCCACTGGTTCCTCTGATGAAAGTGCTTCCCTCCATATAAGGAAAATTTACCCCGTCTCCAGGGCTTTCCAGGCCACACCCCCCTGATCACTTCATAAGCCCTGTTAGCGGTTTCCGAACTCTCTCTCTCTCTCTCTCTGTTTGACTCTATGTCTCTCAACCACAGCTAGCTAGCCAAACTACACACCTAAAACTCTGCCTCTTTGCCTGCCTGTTTTCCCCAGAGTTTAGGCTGAACCCCGACCATAAAGACACCGTTAGTAGCCACATAAGGACAAGTAACATCAACAGACTGGCATAAGCAGCTGTCACTCATTTAAGTATCATGACAAAGAGGTGTCGCGGTGGCTGCTGCTTATACCCTTCAAGGTTCCCTGCAACTAAATGATCCTTATGTGTGATTAGTGGATGGCTTTAGTTTTGTTCTAAGCTTTTCAGTAAAAACCATCAATCAGCTGTAAGAACACAAGATCTGAATTCAAATCACTATTGTCCTCGGTCGTCATTTTAACAGCTGGAACAGTTCGAGTTCTGTTTCCCTCAAGTGTCTTAAGGTTAATATGATCTTAGTCCCATTGTGTTTCTCTGGGCTACCATGATCAGCCTTTTGGAAAAAGGGCACAGACCAGTTTTAAAATCTGATCCTGTGTTTGTGCATCCGCTCAGTCCTCCCGTCATACCTCAAAGTGCCACCTCAGTCTTCCTTCTACGTGGCTGTATCCATTGTTTGCCAGGTTCCTAGAGGAGGTCTTGGTTTCAGTTTCTCAAAAGCATTGAAGCACAAGAGATCGCTCGAAGGTCAAACAGAAAAGTGGATCTCAAAATCTCAAATTCTTTGTGGCAGATCAGTTTGAAGTTCCTCGTGGCTCTCTGAAAAGGAAACAATCTTACAGTTCTTACCTGGTCAGGGCGCCAAGAGTAGCTCAGGTTTATGCCGAGGATGTTTAGTCCAAGTGCAGCTTCGATGGGTTTGAGGAACACGGTCCTCCCAGAGTCGCCACTTACTTTTGGGCTCAGTCTCTAGCCTCACACAGGCCTACCGTAACAAAGCGTGCAATATACAGAGAAACAAGGGCTTTCCTCATCATGCAGAGGCGTCTAGGCCCGGCCGACAAGCTCAGACCTCCTGGAGGAACGCCGCTGACAAGATCAACAAAATTAACACGGGACCTTATGCAGCGTCCCAGAGGAATTAACCTCTTTGCTCACAAATAAAGATCGGAGCTATCTCGGGGGAAAATGGCAGCGACAGAGATGTGAGGTAAAAAACAAAATTTCCAAAATTGAAACAACAACAAATCAAAAAGAGGACAGGGCCATCGCTATTTAGAAGCAACTTTGACTGGAAATGCAACTTGTGTCCCGTTTTTTTTGTGTGTGTGTATGTGTGCGTAGCGTAATGTAAAAGCGATCTGTCCCCCCCCCCCTTCCCACCCTGCCCTGATGTAGAAGCTTAAGAAAAGCGCACACTGGGTTCCCCCTTAAAAGAACACACCTCTAAGGTATAACAGCTACACCGGGCAATAGACATGGCGGATTACCGGCGTGTAAAGGATAGTTACCTCCTGACCCCTCCTCCTGACCTCCAACCCCCCCCCCCCCCCCCCTCTCTCGTACTGCTGTTGGCTGTTCTGTTTAGTTCATGTGACGTGCCAGTATTCCCCCTCTTTACCCATTTTCCTCCCCCTCTCCCCCCTACAGCCCAGCCCTCTTCCACTCTCTTGCTCTCTCTCTACTCCTCCCCCCTCTCTCTCTCTTCATGGATCTTTAAGATGACAACTCTATGCAGATGCTGTCTTTTATAAGTGTGTCAAAATTTTAATTTAAAATAAAAACTTAAAAAAAACAAACCCTGACAGACATATTGAAATGATAACAAAAAAATGAATAAAGAAAAGGATTGTTCAGTGTACTGCTGCTGCCTCGAGGGATCTTTATTGCTTTGTGTCTTTTATTCACTGTCATGTTTCTCATTGTTTGTCTGGCATCCATATAAAGGCTTGTCAGACTCAAATGGAATTCATGTACGTGTATTGAATTTCCATATATATATATACACAGTACATATGAAGTAAAATCATACATGTGCACAGCCTATGTAGATAAAAGTTACATATGGAACCTGTTAGAAATTGGAAAAATTCTATATGTTGACATAAATCTCTAGCTAATAGAAACATGTATATATGTATCATATATCGTATCCAGAGGATGTCTATATGTGACAATAATATACCCCCTTATCAGAAACAGACATAAGATGTCATAGTATAGTAAGGCACAAATAAGTCATAGTATGATAAGGCATTAAAAGGTCATAATATCGTGAGACATAAAGAAGTAATAGAAAAAAATCATATTAAAGTAAGGCAAAAAAAAATCATAATATATTGAGAGATAAAAACGTCATAATAAAAGTCATGCTTTACTCAGGCTTAAAACTGTCATACTAATGTAAGCCATAAAACGTCATAGTATAGTAAGGCATAAAAACGTCTAAGGCATGGAAATGTTGTAGTATAATAAGGCACAAAAAAGTCATAGTATAGTAAGAGATAAATAGGTCATAATAAGAGTCATACTACACTCAGGCATAAAACGTCCTAAATAAAGTTGTACTATAGTAACTGAAAAAACGTCATAGTATACTAAGACATAAAAAGTCATAGTATAGTAAGGCATACATTTTTTATAAAAATGTAATAGTATAGTAAGTTATAAAAAGTCATGAAAATGTCACAGTATGGTAAGGTGTAAAAAGTCATAAAATATACTATAGTAAGGCATAGAATTTTTATGAAAAGTCATAAAAAAGTAATGAAAATGTCAAAGTACAGTAGGGCAAAAAATGATATATTTGGACATGTTCACTGTGAGGTGTACTCACTTGTGTTACCAGCTGTTTAGACATTAATGGCTGTGTGTTGAGTTATTTTCAGAGGACAGTAAATCTATACTGCTATACAAGCTGTACACTAACTACTTTAAGTTATATCAAAGTTTCATTTCTATAGTGTTATCCCATGAAAAGATATAATAAAATATTTGCAAAAATGTGAGGGGTGTACTCATTTTTGTGAGATACTGTAATAACACATAAAAACGTTATAGTCTAGTTACGCATAAAAATCATGGTATACTTAGGCATGAAAAGTCATAAAAAGGAATGAAAATGTCATAGTACAGTCAGGCACAACATTTTTATAAAAATGTCATAGTATAGTAAGTTATAAAAAGTCATAGAAAGTCATATCATATTAAGGCAAAAAACCTCATAGGGCATAACAAGTCAAAGTATAGTAAGGCATAAAATGTTTTAAAAAGTCATAGTAAAGTTACACTATAAAAAAAATATTTAATTTTACAGAAAAAAATAAGAATTTTACAGTAATTTCCTGTTTTTCAAAATTGTGTACAAAAGTCTGTAATATGACAGAAATGATGTGTGAATTAACAGCCAAACTTCTATTTCAAGCATTATGAATTACATTTATTTCCCATTTCTGTAAAAACAAATTACTGTTTTATTTATACAGTATTTTTTCTGCTTTCTTAAATTACGTACAAATCTGTGTAAAATGACAGTAATTATCTGTAATTAAAAATGTAGCTTGTTATTATAAAGGTTAATGTCCATACGAACAATTTAAAGATCTTCTCTGTAATTTCAGGGTGAATCTTATTTTTTTTCATCACATCAAACATTCAAGTACTGGAATGT